CGCAAAGTGATGAGTTCATTCATAACACTGCAATATACATTGATGACTACTGGGGTGGCCATACTGTGCGTGCTATATACTGCCCCTCTCGTCATAACATAACAGGAAATCAATTTAATGACTTTTCCCTAAAGTTTGGCAGTAAGTTTATTGTAGCATGAAATTACAATGCCAAACACACATACTGGCTGTGTAAATTGATTACATAAAAAGGTAGAAATCTATATAAAGTAATCCAGAACAGAGGATTTGACGTCTTGTCTACTAGTCAGCCAAGGTATTGGCCATCTGACCCCCAAAAAACCCGATCTTATTGTCCTTGGTGTAACAAAGGGTATTGCGCGACACCAAGTTAATACAGAAGCTTTATTTGATCTCTCTTCAGATCATTCTCCCTGCCTCATAACATTATCAATTTTTCTTAATTATGAAGAAAATCTTACAAATAAACTCACAAACTGGTTAAAATACAAAAAGTATGTCAGTTCGCACCTTGTCCCACAAATTTTTATTCGGATCAAGATTTATATCGACAGGGCAGCTGAAAATCTCACAGAAATAATAGTTAAGACCGTAGAAATTGAAACACCAAATCTTTCTATAAAATATCGCAGTTCTTACTGCCCTGGCCTGCACACCCAAAACATTCTTAACTTAATAAGTAAAAAGCGCAAATTAAGAAGGGAATGGCAAAGAATTCGCTCTCGTAAGCTTAAACCGCAGCTGAATGCCTGTACAAGGAATTGCGTATTTTGTTGCTGGCGGAAAAAGAAAGAAGTACGCAGTCGATCCTTCAGTCCTTGTCTGCTTCGAAACAGACTGACTACTCCCTTAGGCGAACGCTGAAACATGCGAAGAGGCCCGTTCTTCGAGAAGCACTATTACGTACTCAGAGCGGAAGCTGGGCGAGGAGTAATTAAGATAAAGCAAACACTTTCGCCCGTCATCTTTCACAAGTCTTTAGACCAAGCAAAGGCGCTCATCTTCCCAATATTTCAATACCCAAAAAGAAAGATTTAATTAACACCATTGTTCATGACATTCAGAAGAATAAAGAGCCTGGTTACGATAGCATTACAGGTGAAACCATAAAGGAGTTTCCACTAACTTACGTATTTTACATATTTTTAATAACATGCTTAAGTTGGGCACTTCCCCGAATTCAGGAAACTTTCAGAAATAATTATAGGGCAAAAGCCAGGCAAAGATCCGACAGTGGTTAATTCATATCGGCGCATTTGCTTGATTTCTGTATTTTCCAAAGTATTGAAAAAAATACAACCTTCTCTAACAAGTAACCAAATAATACCACCACATCAGTTTGGTTTTCGTGAAAAACATGGCACTGTAGAACAAGTTCATAGAATTGTTTCTTGTATTAGAAAAGCCTTCGAAGGGGAGCAATATTGAACCGGTGTATTTTTGGACATCTCTCAAGCTTTTGACAAAGTGGGGCATGATCGCCTTATAAACAAACTAAAGGTTTCACTCCCTGCAAATACACATGCAATTCTGGAAAGCTTTGCGCTGGAGAGAAACTTCAGATTCAGGCAGGATCCCTTTAGAACGGAAAGTCACCCTATATATGCGGTGTCCCTCAAGGCAGTGTTCTAGGACTCATCTTGTACGTAATATACACTCGTGATTTGCCAACTGATGAAACTCTAACCATTGCAACGTTTGCTGATGACACAGTTATAGTTCAGACCCTAAAGAGGCTTCCTACAAGCTACAAGAACATTTGAAAAAGTCAGAGCTATGGCTAGGTTATTGGAGGATAAAGGTTAACGAAAGCAAGTGTGTTCAGACAACATTTACTTTGAAGAAAGAAACTTGCCCACCGCTAAAAATAAACAGCAAGGCTATACCACTTAAAGATAGTGTGAAGTACCGTGGGATGACACTAGATAGAAGACTTACCTGGAATAGACATATAGAAAAAATTCTCAAGGGAAACTAAAAGAAGCAAACCTTCAATGGGTTATAGGGCACTAATCTGAATTAAGCCTAGAAAACAAGATGTTGATTTTTAATAAGATGATTAAGCCATGCGAATCGGGCTTTGGAGCACAGCTTGCAATTCCATTTTGAACAGACTTAAAGACGGCAGTCGAAAATTTTACGCGCAATATGCGGAGCACCGTGGTACATAAAAAATTCGAATATCTACAAAGATCTTAATGTAAATACGGTGCATGAGTACATAAGACGGCTAAGCAGCAGTTACTTAGCACGGTTAATGAACCATCCAAATCGACTATTGGAGATCTTCTTAGTCCGGGATATGCCAGAAGACTAAAAAGAAAGGATTTTCCCGAAGTCGAAGTGAACGGTCATGTGTTTGTTCGATCTTGCTATGAAAAATTCAACTTGGGCTAAATGCTGTAAGGCCTTACGTGTTGGCTACGAAATCTCTTGCCATGTTTGTAAAAGTAAATTTCATAAAATATGTGCAAAGGTGGATAACAAAGAATTGTGTGAGCTACTTGCTAATAATAAGAACGATGTGTTTAACTGCGATATTTGTCTACAAAACTCTTCAAGCTTGGCGTCATCTATTGCATGTCTGACTAAGGGGGTTAATTACTTAAAAGTTTTATTCTCTAAGCTGATTAATAGTGCAGAATTTCAACTGCTAAAACGTCAATTATTGGTGCAAATGATAGTTCGGCTCTGACCACGATTGAGAGAATACAAAGGTTGCGCCGATCTCGGACCGCTATTCCTCTCTTAACGAATTTGACAGAATCGTTGTTTGCATGACGTCACACATGTGCAACTTGTTTACGTTTTCCTTGCAACATTTTTTCTTCTTCCATTTTTGCCCACGTTTTGGCATTTCTCTCGCAATTGCACCAGTGTGACGTCACACAAAAGTTATTCTCAAAAATCCTCTCTGATCGGCGCAATTTTGTATTCTATCATTCTTGGGCTCTGACTAATATCGCTGATAGTGATAATGCAAACGCTCTCTCGGCTTTATCTTTTTCGCGTTCAGTTGTTGGTGGTAATGTTGGATTTTCTTTGCCTAGCTACTGCTTCTGCTGATCTGCCGCCTTCCCGCTCTGCTGTTCCAGCTGAGAATATTTTGCCGATGCCTGCTACTACTGTAGCTCTTTGCTAATGCAAAGAGTGTACCTTCAGCTGGTGTTTCAAATATGAACAATCTCTCGCCTATACCATCTTCACCTACAGTTGTTGGCGCCAGTGTTGTTACAGGTAGGGGAAAATCCCTACACGTAGGGAGTTTTGTTGAAAAATAATGGCTGTAGGGAAAAAAGGACAGATTTTGAAAAAAGCGTTAAATGTAGGGAATTTTCGACCGATTACAAAATGTTCTTCAAAGTTAGAAATTTTTCAATATTGTTATTGAGCTTTGTACCACGAATATTTTTTTTACTAAAAATGAAAAAAAAACAACAAAGTCTAAATCAGCTTGTTTTTGTGGCAACATTCTCGTACTGGGGTTAGTGTGGCCACATTAAAAGCATTCTATAAAAAAACGTATGTAATAGCATTTGTGTCGTGTATTTGGCATATAAGTAGTTGAACTTGAGGAATTTGTGAGCATTTTTTAATTGAGGATTTTATTTTGTACATTCTAAAGTTTTACACATGTTTGCGTTGGTAGCACTGTTTACTGTTTTACATATGAATGAATGTACATACATATTAAGTTGCGATGAATTTTTCTTGCTTCTTACCCGCGCCTTATCTGATTTGCTGGATTTGCTGTTTAAAGTAAGTTAATGTATTAAATAGCTAAAATTAAGTAGTATATAAAGAAAATTTTCAGAAATCAGTTCCTCTTCTTCAAGCAACTCGGAACAGCGACCGAAAAAGTATCGGAGGCAAAAGTTTTCGAAAAAGTGGACAGAAGATGAAAAGTTTAAAGGATGGTTGGAAGCTGTAGAGGATGAGCCCTATAGATGTAAGTGCACGGCATGTAACAAAATTTTAAATTGTGGTAAATCGGAGCTACTGAAGCACTCTGAAACAAATGCGCACAAAACAAAAGTAAACGCAGTTCAAAAAACGGCTAAAATTACAAATTGTTTCAAAGTAAACACAAACAAGCAAACTGAAAAAGATGCTAAAAATTTTGAAATAAGGCTCAGCATGTTTTTCGCTAATAGTTCCACTATTAAAAGAAATCTTGCCGGATTCCGAGATCATAAGACATGTCCAGCTCGGAAGGAATAAATGCACTAACGTAATAAAGAATGTTATAGCAAAAACAGAAAAGGATAACTTAGTGGAAAAACTAAAAGAAAACAAATTTTCTATTTTGATTGTCGAGAGCACGGACATTGGCCTTAACAAGCATATGTGTATCCTGGTCCGATTTTACGACGAAGATAACGGACGGGTTATGGTTAAGCTGCTAGATCTTCTCCCAGTACGCACTGACTGCTCTGCAGATGGTCTTTACAAGGCTTTTAAAGAACACATATTATCTCTTTGTATTCCATTTGACAATATAATCGGTAACTATAATAAAAGTTAATACTCTGCATTCATAGTCTGAGTAAGTATTTTATACTTTTTCTAGGTATGTGCAGCGATGGTGCAAGTGTGATGGTCGGTCGATCAAACTCTTTCGCATCAAGATTAATTAGTGACGTCCCAGGTGCACTAGTTGTGAAATGTATATGTCATTCTGCAGCCATCATCGCCAGTAAAGCTTGTTTGGTACTGCCCCGAGCACCTGAGGATCTTTTGCGGCAGATAGGTACGTATGTCTCGGGAAGCTCCAAGAGATGTGCACAGTTAGAAACTACAGGAATTGCTGATCGGGAAGAAGAAGAAAATCTGAAGGACTTGTTCAACTAGATGGCTCTCACATCAAAAATGCGTTGAAAGTGTGTTAAATAATTGGGATGTGCGTTTGGCATTCTTTAAACAAGCGGCCGCGCAAGACAAACTAAAATTTACGGAATCCATTTTATTTGAGCTCAGTAATGAGTGCAACAAGATTTATTTATATTTTCTCAAGTACGTTTTGAACTACTTTAATACGCTAAACACACTTTTCCAGTCCAAAGCGCCATTAATACAAGTCCTACAACGCGAATCTGTTAAAATATTTTTAAATTTAGGTCAAAACTTTATTAAAAAAACTGAGCTTAACATTTCCTGTGTTGTTAGATCACCACACGTTTCTCTCCCAATTGAAGACGTTTTCCTTGGTCATGACTGCAACGAACTCATAAATGAAATTCCAATAGTAGCTGCAAACAAAATTGAATGGACTGTCAGATACAGTCGAGATACAGCGAAGATTACCTTTGAAGGCAGACATTTTTAAAGAAATGGAGTTTTTATGTCCCGACGTTGCAATGGGGGAGAAAGGAAACAAAAGTGACCTGAAATTTAAACATCTTTGTGAAAAAGTAAACGTGGACTCTAATTCCATTTTGCAGGAATGGAGAACATTTGAGTTCAATTTTTCGGAGGAAGAAAAAAAGTTCTTTTGGATATGGACGCTGAAAAATTTTGGAGCAAAATGAGTAAATTAAAAAATTTTAATGACAGCTATATTTTCCCTAATTTATCAAAGGTAGCTAAGTTTGTTTTGGCTCTGCCACATGCCAACGCAGACTCGGAAAGAATCTTTTCCATCATCACCGATGTACGTACAAAAAAACGAAACAAACTCAGTCACGAAAATTTAACCTCCATTTGCATTATGCGCTCCAAACTACAAAACGAAAACCAAAACTGCTGCACTTTTCAGTGTAAAGATTTACATTACAAAAAAATGGTCGCATCAGAATTGTATAACCATCATAAAAATATTTGATTTATTTAATATTTATCAAAAATTTTGCAATATGTACAATGATATTTTTAGAAGTTAGGTCCCTTCTCAAAGTAAGAACTTATTATTAATAGTTTTTCTCATAGAGACTAAACAAACGTGATCTCAGTTAGGTACAACTGCTTGGCTTGTTTTAAACAGAACTGAATATTATTACAAGTATAAATATCTTTGATATAAATACGTGCATATATGTATATAATAAAAATGCATTGTAAATGTAACTTACCTTATTTTTTATTAAAAATATATACATACATCTATATACATATATATATATATATATATGTATATTTATTTACATATGTACATATTTACCTAAAGTATGCAAATAAATGAATTATTTTAATAAATCGTGTGTAAGTATATACCTGTTAAAACAATATAAAAGTATTTTTATTTTTGAACTATAAAAACTCGACCAAAATTTCGCTGAAAATATGTACATAACTTCAGCAATCTTATAGTAAAATTATCAACAGCAATATTTTAGCAAATAACGAGTATAAAAACGAAATGGGTCAAAAACAAAGTGTAGGGAATTTTGTAGGGGAAAAAATATATGAGCGTAGGGAAAAATAGTTATTTTTATTTGGATGCGTGGGGATTTTTGAAAAAAGTATGTAACAGCACTGGTTGGCGCCAATGCTGGAAGTTCTTTGCAATCATCTACTGCTACTGCTTCTGGTCGCCGCTTTCGCGCTCTGCTTTTAATCAAACTTCGCGTGCATCTCCGAAGCCGGTGAACGATGAGTGGATGAAAATCGAGAATAATAAACGTCGGACTGACGTGACCACTGACTTGGTGGTGGCTGGCCGCATGAAATGGCTACATTTATCATCGTTCATGCCTTCCGTCACTGCAGACAATATTATCGAATACATTGTCTAGCATGCTGCTGTTGATAACATCTCTTGTGCTGTGCATTAAGGTGCTCGTAAGCGATGAGACTAAATACCTTGAGAATAGGAATTCACTCTCATTCTCACCGTTTAACAAGTAATGAGAGTGGGCATTCGTTCTTATCGTGGAGTTCTCATAAGTTCTCAGCACTGGAATATCCTTACCCGTGTAACAAGGGTGTTTAAAAGTTTTCTTACACTCACTCTTATTCTCAGCTCTCATGTGCTACGCGTTGTCGCAAGAGCGACAGAATACAAAATTGCGCAAATCAAGCTGTGAGCAACCGGTTGTGACGTCATGAGGGAATGAGGGAGCAACGAATAAATTCTAAAGAATGAGAGGAAACGCGAGCATGTGATGCGAAATGATGACTCAAATGCACGTAGATTTGTACCCATTATTTAGCCTTTTAAATTTTAGCGTATATTCGGAACAAGCACACAATTTTAGATACATCTTGAAGGTAGCAAAATAGCTTGTCGGGACATTTTGTCTAATTTTTATTGGCATTTCAACGCGTTTTCTAGTATGGGAGGCACCCTTTTTTCGTAAATGGGCATAAATATTGGTTAAAATATAGTTTTGGCTTGAACTGCTCGCAGAAGTTCCCTTTAAGGCTATTATTAATAGCAAAAAGTGTTTGATAATAGTCCAAAGTATATTTTGGCCTGTATGTCTGAGAGCGCGGTAAAAATAAAACTCTTCCGTTGAGTGACGAACTGTGATTCAAATTTATTTGATTTTTGTTCTCTTGCTTTAAGGGCTAACTATAATATGAATAAGCTGCCGTAACTGACTGTCAGAAATTGAACGAAAAATCTGTCAAATGCATAAGCAACGTAGTGTAGACTTTTAGGTGGCTATATTTTACTTACATGAGTTCAGTGTTGCCACATTTATTAGTTATAACAATAGCCACTATCAAGCACTTTGTTGAAGATCACACAATTATAGTAACCTAGAAACACTGAAGAACTGTTCGCCTTGCGAAACTTTCAGGATAACCTGGTGTTTCTGTAAAAGGAAACGCTACGGCACGCTTCCTAATGTGGAACCAGAACTTCTTTTGACCTGTGTTACATGTAGGACTGAATCGAAAAAGTAACCAAGTTGAAAAATAAGTTACCAAATTATCAAATATGATATGATCAGTATCGCTCTTTCCTTAAGCAAATGACGTTTGGCGAAACTTGACGAAACTTGATGTTAAGCACATTATAGTTTCAGAATAGGATTTATGTGAATTCGCACGTTTGCATACGCTTGCTTATTCATATTATAGTTGACACTCCTTTCGTTAAGTAATTAGTGATGCACATTAGGGCGGGTCGAAAATCTAATTTTTCTCAGATCCCTTGGTAATAGTGAAAATATATTGTATCATGAAGTCAACAACAAGCCTGCAAAATATTAGTATTTTATTTTAGTTGTAAGAGCCCGCGCATCGACCGCAAAGTAACCCACAGCACACTAGTCGAATAAGACCAATTCTTGTTAAAAATTCTGGGATCGGCAAAATGGTTTGGTGCATATTATTAGCTAATGAATCCGTTTAAGCAAAAGATAAAGTCAAATTTCATTTCTCGCAGCCCTTTAGCTTATCGTTAATCTCAAGATTATCTGTTTTCAATAAAATTTGAATTGTTCTCTTGATAATTTCACTGGCTTATAGTCAAAAGATGTAAAGAACAGCTTTAATATTGCTGGTCAGCTTTAGGTCGCTGGATCCAAATATTCTAATCTTTTTTTAATATTAGCTATAGTTTGCGAATTTTTGCAAACATAGGGCCAATCTCGGTAACTCTAATAGAAAAGCCATTATTTTCCATCATCGTGGAAAAATTTTGTTTATGCAAATGAGTATGGAAACACTGAACAGGCACAACTTCTAGAAACACTAATTGGTTTACTTATGTTTATGCATACAATATAAAAATTGCTAATACAAGAAAATGACAAAAAACTTTGTTCAAAATTTTTTTTTATTTTAAAATAATTTGTTTATAATCTGAACGATTTTAATCATATTATTATCAAAAATCAGTAACATTCGCCTTCAATTTGGTAATTATTAAGTAACATTTACCAAAGTTATATGGAAAAATTTAAGTGGATCTCCAGTTTTTTTCTAAAAAAATTTCTCTTAAATTGTATAAATAACTTTTAAATGAAAGAACCGAATTCCAGAAAAGTATGTCAGGGAGCGACTTTTTTCGTTCAAGCTAAATGCAAAGCAATATCGTCCAATTGGAGAGTCCTCAAAAGGATTTCCCAGGATATGTTAAATACTATTGCATTTACCTACAGTCACTTTTTCACATCATGGAATTAACTAAAATATCTATGTATATCTAAACACTTATTGCACGTCCCCTACTTTCATCTAACGGCAGAATTAGAGACCGCGAATAATTTTCAAGACTGCATAAATGGACTTAAAATGGGCGTTTCTCACCCTAATTGTATTATGTTAATGTATGTAAATACTTATATGCTTGAAACTACTATTAACTTATCAAACGATTCGTAATCTTTGACAATACATGTTTGACTTCATTCACCACAATCTTGAAAACTGACCAAATCGGCCCATGGCCCACTTAATATTATATAAATAAGATAAGTTTTAAATTAATCTTTCATGGCCAATAACAATTGGCTTAGACCTAAGACATCATAATATTACTATTACAATGCGGTCAAATGCCTTTTATTTTCCCCCATACAAAATCGACCCAGCCTAATGAACATCCTTTTGTACTAAGCTAATGAATTGATATCGATAACAATAATTCCAAATTTCGATACATTTAAAAAATAGGAAATTGATTATAACTAAATGCAAAGTGGTGATTGCCACATTATCCCCTTCCTAGATTTTTTGCGATCTGCTTGCAAGAAAGCGACTTGTTCGCTTATAATGGCAGGTGATGCTCGATGTGCGCCTGATGCCTGATGCTTGATGTGAAGTGTTTGTGACTTCTTCTTCATCTGCAACTATGTAAGACGGTTGGAGGCATTCGATAGAGATTACGACCGTTCGGCCTTTTATTAAGACTTTGAAATATTTGTTGTTTTTTGCTGCCACCTTGTAAGGGCCATCGTAAGGCTCAGTCATGGAAGGGTTTGCCCTATCGTTTCGGACGTAAACGTGCGTTGATGAAAATAAGTCTTTGTTGACGAACGGAGTACCCGGCGAGTCCCATGAAGTCTCGACAGGGCGAATTTTTTGGAAGTGCATACGCAATTTATCGACAAAAACGAAACTTGGCTACACGCTAGGCTGTGTAGTGAAAAACTCACCCGATAGTCTTGTTGAAGTGCCGAACATCATTTCAGATGCGGATGTATTTAGATCTTGTTTCACAGCATTCCGTAGTCCCAGAAGAGTGAGACCTAAATTGTCAACCCAGTCGTCTTTTCCGGTAGCTAAAACAGCGTTTTTGAAGGATCGATGCCATCTTTCTATCAACCCATTCGTTTGTGGGTGATATGGCGAAATGCGTTCGCGCTGAGTACCTAGGGTCTACAGCATTTCTTTGAACATTTTCGGTTAATATTTTCTGAGGAGAACCATAGCGCCCAACCCACTCACTCAGGAACGCTCTGCAAACGGTTTGAGCTTGTATGTCAGGCAAAGGTATCGCCTCGGGCCACCTAGAAAAACGATCGATAAAGGTGAGACAATATCGAAAACCAATCGCTGCGAAATCATTTTGAGTTTCGCGTTGGCACCTGGGTCCGCCAGATCGTGAACAGGGTGTAAAACTTGGTGACGGAGTGAATGCGGTACAACGGGTCTAATGCTTCTCGTTGAAACATCACATAGCAACTGAGCGTCAGCGTCTGCTACCCTGAAATATTTAATTTTGAGTGCTTTCTCTTACCATCTACGAGAGATTGTATGTCATGATCCGATTGCTGCTGCGTTGCCATGGTGAGGTAATTAATAGGAGTTATTGAATTAATACGCGATAACATATCTGCAGTTTGATTCTCTAAACCTGGAATATGACGGATGTCCGTTGTAAACTGGCTGATATAGTCTAGTTGCCTAATCTGCCGCGGAGAACCCTCGTCACAGCGTTTATTAACGGCATAAACAAGCAGTTTGTGATCAGTACAGATGCTCGTTTGGTTGCCCTCTACCATGTACTGAAAGTGCTTTAGTGCAAGATATATGGCGAGCAACTCTCTGTCATATACCGAGTACCGCTTTTGGGTTTCGTTAAGGCGGCGTGAAAAATAACCGAGTGGTTGTGGGTTATTTTCTACCACTTGAACGAAATACCGCTCCCACAGCGATGTCGGAAGCGTAGTGATTAATTGAAGTTGAGCGCCGACACGAGGATATGCCAAGGTGGCGGCGTTAGCCAAATTTCGTTTGCACTCTTCAAATGCTTCAACTGCTTCATTATTCCATGCGATAAGAGCCTTGTCATTCCGTTTGTTGCCGTGAATTAGTTTTTGCAAGGCTGCTTGACGTTTGGCGGCGCCAGGTAAAAACTTACGATAAAAATTGATTGTTGCTAAGAAGCTTTTTAATTCATTGGCGATTCTTGGGTGCGGTATTCGCAGAACTGCCTCTATCTTCTCCGGAAGTGGGCGAACTCCTGTGCTGGTAATAAGGTGACCAAGGAATTTTAGCTGACTTTTTCCAAATTCGCATTTGGACGGGTTAATTGTCAGGCCAGTCGCACGAAGTCCAAATACCAAACGTATATGCTCCGTGTGGTCCTGCATGTTTGCGGATGCAATACACACATATGTCGTCAACGTAAGCAAACACGAAGTCCAGCCCGCGCAGAGCTTCGTGAATAAGGCGCTGAAACGTCTGCGCGGCATTTCGTAACTCGAACGTCATATGCGTGAATTCAAACAAGCCAAAAGGTATTATAATGGCTGTTTTCTTCACGTCTTCGGGCCTTACTGGGACTAGGTGGAACGCCCTTTGCAGATCGATTTTGCCGAAAACTGTTTTTCCACCAAGAATGGTCATACAGTCATGGAGAAAAGGAATGGGGTACCGGTCTGGCACCGTGATTTTGTTGAGGGCGCGGTAGTCACCGCATGGTCTCCAAGTCCCGTCTGCTTTACGGACCATATTTAGGGGGCTAGCCCAATTGCTTTTCGATGGGCGACACACTCCTATCTTCAAGAGGTATTCAGACTCGGAACTCGCTGCAGCCAGCTTCTCGTGGTCAAGCTTACGAGCTCGTGCAGTTACCGGATGGCCACTAGTTTCGCTAACGTGGTAAACTTCAGATTTGACTGGCCGGCGATCCGACGTCATCTCAGTTATGTCTTTGAGCTCTACAAGGAGATTCGCGAAAGTACAATTGATATCGAAAGCCTTGATCTGCACATTCAGCGCAGTGTGAATGGTGCACGGCGCTGCTAGTCTTGTCGTGTTGTCGATTAATTTATTGCGTTTCAAATCAATAATTAAGTCGTAATGACGAATAAAATCACTGCCTAGTATTGGAGTACTCACGTCTGCAACCATAAAGTTCCACGTAAAATTTCGAAGGAGGCCAAGGTCAATATGCTGCCTAACAATACCATCGTTTATCAATGTGCCGTTGGCGGCACACAATGTGACAGAGGTGGGACGAAGGACCGAACAATTAATTTTCTTTGGAATTACGCTAAAGTCGGCCCCAGTGTCGACGAAGTACTTTAAGTGAGACGAACGATCTGTGATGAAAAGTTGATTGATTCCAGCGCTGCAGTTGCTGGAGTCTGCACCGCTGGGAGACGTTTCTAGTCAATCGTGCTGGTTGGAAACACTGTTGCCTACGTCGCGTTGTCGGTGGCTGAATGGGTTACGGCAGCGAGTTGCAGCATCGCCAAAGGTTTGATGGTACCAACCATTACCGCCAGTAGGCTTTGACCTTTGAGTGTTTTGACGACTACGTGAACGCACACGTCTGTAGTTTATTCGTGAACGGCTGCGCTGCCGTGTGCTCAGGTTGTCGATTTTTTGCTGTAACTGGTGAATTGTGTTCGCTAGCTGTGTGATTGCTACTTGTGAACCTTCTTCCGGTATGTTGGCTGAAACCTCTTTCGTCACACCACAAATTTGGCGCTGGGTGAGCGTCTCCATTGCAGCGTCTGCGACCACAATGAGATCATCGATCGGACCTTCACGCGCAATAATGGACGCTCGAACCATTTCGGGTAGGCGCTGTATCCACATAGCCCGTAGCGTTTCCTCTGAAAAGGAGTTTCCCGCGACGCGCCGCATAGCGTTGAATAACTGACTTGGGCGTTGATTACCTAAGACCATTTCTTCTAATAATCGCTGTATTTTACGCTGATGGCTCTCTCCGAAATATTTGAGTAGCTAAAAAATCGTACATGCCTACGCCAGTGCTAGTTATGCGTTGTTGGTTTTCGGCATTCCTGCTAATCTGCCCGATAGTAGGCAGAGTAAGCGGATCCAGTGTTGCAATAACGTGGTAATATCTCTGGGTATTGCAGGCCTTAAACCAATAGTCCACAGATGTGAACCAAGCATCCATGTCATTTGGTGTTAAGCGAGGCATTGGTATTCGGGCATGCACTTCAGTATAAGCTGCCGAATTTTGTTGTTGCAAAAAAATTTTGTCTGCTGATGTTCAACAAACGAGACTGCTATGTTTCTCTGTTGGTGCCCATACGGTGCTGTCGTATTATGCTGGTGCATCGTTACCGGTAGAGCTTCACTGCCCTCTGCCTGCGCCGGCTGATGCGTCGCTGCATATGCTGAATCCAGCATAATGACCGTTTGACTTTGGTTCGGATTCTGCGTTTCACCGTTTCTCCAGCTGCTGCTGTAATCCGGCGGAGCTGCTGCGCCTCCTGGAACACCATCGCTGCCAGATATGGTTGTGCTATCTGTACGTAGCAGGTTTCTATTAATTTTTCGTTATTTTTTATTAATATCAAATAGCGCGAGTTGCCCTTTTACTGACACCACTTTGGCCTGTATGTCTGAGAGCGCGGTAAAAATAAAACTTCCGTTGAGTGACGAACAGCGATTAAAATTTATTTGCTTTTTGTTCTCTTGCTTTACACTCCTTTCGTTAAGTAATTAGTGATGAACAAGCTTTTATACTAAGCTAATGAATTGATATCGATAACAATAAAAAAAATCTGGGAAATATTACTTAAATTTCATATTTAATAATTTTTCCAAAATACATAAGCGAATAGAGACGCATACATACATATGCATACGTGTTTACCGCGAAAAATAAAAACACAGTGCGAAAAGTGAAGACATAATGTCAGATAACGACAAGTGTGTGAAGTGTAAAGTCCCAATAAGAGGGGAAACAGGTGTCAGATGTATGGGTGTGTGTGGGAAGGCATATCACACTGCACCAAGATGCTCTGGCTTAGATAACTTCCAGTATGGGGTAATAGGAACGCACCCAATGTTGAAATTTATTTGTGATGAGTGCATTACATATATACAAAATGTTGATATGGTAGTGCGAGACATGCAAGAAAGTGTAAACAAGAACAGTATGTATTTGAAGGAGTACAAAAATGAATTTGAAGAAGCATTGAATACGAACCAGCGGGAATTGAGAGAGTTAATGAATGCGATGGAGGTGAAATATAATGAACGATTAGCGACCCTAAAAATGCACCAGGAAATGTATGTAAGAAATGCAGCAGAAATAAAGAAAGTGCGAGAGGTAGTGGAACAAATGAAAAGCACAGCTGATGTAGCTGGGAAGGAAAATGAAAAGCTATGCGGGGAAATAAAAACATTGGGGAAAGAAATAAAAGATAGTGCAACACAACAACAAACGTCATTTGCAAATATGGTGAAAACAAATATGAATAAAAATGCTGGTAGAGACGTGCCGGAATTTAAGAAACGTGCGCCTATTGTTGTGAAACCAAGAACCAAACAAACGAGTGAAAAAACAAAGCAGGATTTAAATAATAAAATTAACCCTAACGAGCTGAAAATTACAGACATTAAGACTGGTCAAAATGGTGTTATGATAATTGAGAGTGTTAATGTGGATGAAAGAGACAAAATCAAAGAAATTATGGATACGAATATTAGTGATGGATACGAAATAAAGATTCCGCGAGATTATAAACCAAAATTGTTTATAACAGGCATGAGCCTTGAAAAGTGTAATGACGAACTAATCGAGTGTTTAAAGAAGCAAAACCAATGTCTAGAAAAGGGTGAAGTTAAAATTATTAGGCAGTATAATGTGAAAAATAAAAATAATAGTTATTATAATGCAATAATAGAGGTGGATGAAGAAAGTTTTAATAACACTCTGAAATGTGATAAACTGAATATAGGTTGGGAAAGATGTAAAGTCTATGATGGTGTTGATGTGACAACGTGCTTTAAATGTAAAGGGTACAACCACAAAGCTGCTGAGTGCAAGGACGATGAAGTGTGCGCCAAATGCTTGGGAAACCACAAATCCACCGGATGTGTTAATCCACCGATAAACAAGTGCATAAACTGTATAAAGTCAAATGAAAAGCTCAAACTAGGGCTAGATATCAATCATCAGTGCAAGAGTAGGCAATGTCCGGTCTACTTGAAGCATTTAAATGCTAAAAAGCAAAGGCTAGGATATTAGCAACAAATGTGCAGGTTACAGGCAAAACCAACGGAGATAAGGGGAAGAAAACGAAGGGAAAATCTGCACACAAACAACATTCTAAATTGCATATATCTAAACGTGAACAGCATAATATCTAACAAAGGTGAATTAGAAGTGTTGGCGGCAGCACACAAGCCGAGTATTATACTATGCTCTGAGACGTGTACGACGGAAAATGTGGAAGATAGTGAATTAGATATAGCAACATACAAAATGGTTCGATGTGACTCACACAGCAGACACACTGGAGGAGTGATAATATATGTGCATAGCACAATTGACTTCAATATAATTTATAATGCAAGTGTTAATCGAAATATATGGTGCATAATAATAAAAATGAAAAAGGTCGATAAAAAATTTCAAATTGGCGTGCTTTATCACTCGCCTAGCACAAGTGATGCAGATTTTTTGGATTATTTAACAGAAATATTACTTACTAAATATGATAAAAGCAACCATAATATAGTAGTGGGAGATTTTAATATAAATATGAACTACACTTCTACATATAGTACTAAACTGTCCGAGATATTTTCTGTAATGGGAATGTCCCAAAAAGTAGAGTTTAACACAAGAATTACAAATACAACTGAAACTAAAATTGATTTACTGTATTCAAATTCGGAAGAAATAGAATGCAAAAATTTGATGGATTTCAAAATCTCTGACCATGAAACAATACATTTCAGTGTCAAGACGTCGAAATCGTTCAAAATGAGAATGGTGAAGAAAATTACTGCTTGGGACAGATACAGTCGTGAAAGTTTACAAAACATACTAAGATCGTACAATTTCAATTTCTATAATAACTTGCAAATTGATGATAAAGTGGAACTTATAAACAACAACATAGTGCAAGCAATGGAAAGCTTGACTTACGAAAAAGAAGTGTATATAAAGCTGATGAATAAATGGTATGACCATGAACTGGCACAAATGAATAAAAATAAATTTAATATATACAAACATGCTATACAGACTGGAGTGTGGGATGAATACAGAAGTATAAATAAAAAGTACAAAAAACTAATTAAAATAAAAAAAGTTCAATTTATGGAAAATAAAGTAAAAATGAGTGAAAATAACGCTAAAGAAATGTGGAAGCACCTCAAACAGGCGGCTTGTCTTGCAGAGGATAACGATGGTATCAAAAAAGTTGTAATAGATGGTGTACTGGTTGAGAATGATACCGAAGTGGCTAATAAACTGAACCTATTCTTCATAAACAGTGTGATTGAAATAAATAGAAACATACCTTGTTTTGACCTAGTAATGAACAGTAGTCAAACCAACTGTAGTTTTAAATTTTCGTATATAACAACCGCTGAAGTTATAAATATTATAAAAACGTTTAAATACAAAATTGGCGGACGAAAACTGTTATCAGATGGAGTACTGAAAGACTCTATAGAGTATTTAGGGTACTTCTATGCACTTATTATTAATGATAGTGTGGAAAGTGGTATTGTACCAGAACGGTGGAAAACGTCGACAGTGGTACCTGTCAAAAAAGTCAAAAAGACAATACAACCAGAAGAGCTTAGACCAATAAATACCCTACCAAGTGATGCCAAAATATTAGAAGTACATGTCAAGAATCAACTGATGATGTACCTCGAAGAAAATAAAATTTTAGTCCAACAACAATCGGGCTTTAGGGAAAAACATTCGTGTGAGACAGCCCTCAATTTGGTGATAGCTGATTGGAAAGAAGAGCTAAATAATAAGAATGTAGTTGTTTCGGTATTCCTGGACCTCAAAAGGGCATTTGAAACGGTGGATAGAGACATATTACTAAAAAAACTGCAACGAATTGGTATAACTGGTACGGAGCTAGAATGGTTTAGCAGCTACTTGAAGCAGAGAAGGCAACGAACTGTGATAAATACAGCGATATCGGAGGAATTGGAAGTACCCATAGGGTTACCACAAGGGTCGGTTCTGGCACCGATATTGTTCCTAATTTACATTAATGATATTGTCAATGCCGTCGAGGGATGTGAAATTCGACTCTTCGCCGACGATGCATTAATTATGATAAGTGAAAATAATATTAATGTCGCTATATCGAAAATGCAAATGGCACTAAATAATTTATATACATGGCTGTGCGGAAATAGACTCAAACTTAATATTAACAAAACAAAATATATGATTATAACCAGAAGAAACTTTAATGATCTCAACGTTGAATTGAAAATAAATAATGAAAGCATACAAAGAGTAGATAGTATCAAATATTTAGGTATTATAATTGATAATAAACTTAAATTTGAGGAACACATAAAATACACCGTTGCGAAAGTAGCTAAAAAAATTGGGATTATGCAGAGAACATCCAAATATCTACATAAAAAATATAAAATACTTATATATAAATCTATTATTGAGCCACATTTTGTATATTGTCCATCGATATTATTCATAATATCAGATAGTGAAATTGATAAGCTTCAAAAGCTTCAAAACCGGTGTATGCGATTTATACTTAAAAAACGTAGTGATGCCAGAACGGCTGATATGCTGAACAGTTTAAACTGGCTAAGTGTTAAGCAAAAAATTTTCTTTCACTCCATGAAGTTAATTTATAATATAAAGCATGGTAATGTACCTGAATACCTTAGTAAAAATGTATTGTTAGTAGAGCAAACACACAATGTAAATACAAGGAATAAACAAAATTTTAAACTGCCATTGTTTAGAACGGAAATAGATAAACAAAACATTTTCTATAAAGGTCTAAAATGTTTCAATGAACTCCCTATGGATTTAAAAACCTGTAATGAAATCTTAGTTTTTAAGAAAAAACTGTATGAATATTGTAAAACCCTAGCTATAAGATAGCAAATTGTTAATGATACTTGAATTAGGCTCTCGTGGCCGTAATAAATACATAATAATAATAATAATAATAATAATAATAACTACAAATTTCGATACATTAAAAAATAGGAAATTGATTATAACTAAATGCAAAGTGGTGATTGCCACATTTATATGGTACCGAAGGGATAGTATAATCACCCAAAAACTTATGCACATAAAAATACATATTTACGTTTTAGTTGCATTTATCTACATTTAAGTTAAATTTTTTTTTCGGCAAATAGGTACAATTAGAAAATTTAATTTTCATCCCCAGTGTGAAAAGATATTTTATGACATCAGCGAGTAGGTGGATGCTGCCAAATCAACGAAGAGAGGGTTAGCGGTCCGCAAACAGCGCCACCTTTATTTTCTACATCGTGTAATAACGGGCCTGTGAAATGCGCCACCTTATATACTTATGTTAAACTTTGCTATGCATTTACCATTCATCATTTTGCTATTGTTGGCAACATTTGCATTTTGTCTTGAGCGAATTATTATATTAGAAGTTAAAAAAGTAAAAACAAAATTGAATACGTTGGGTGTAAGTATTCTCACGCAGTGTTGTTCATGAATATTAACTCATATTAAAATACTTAATATTTTTTTAGAAATGGACCGACGTAAAATAAATTATCACTTTCTTCCCGTTGTTAGTTTCTATCTTCATATAGGGACAGGAAACCATAAAGTAATTTTTTGCGTCTATTCAACATTCTTCACGGCACCTGAATGACAAAATATTACATAATTATCGCAATGTAGGAAAAACAACAGTACCGTTACTTTATTCTTGGCGTCTTTTTCTTCTTTTGTTTTATTTTGTCACTGCAGATCTTAAATTGTGTAATTCTTGCATAAGTTCGTATATAAATAAATAAAATTATGTGAAATATTTTCCTTTTCAATCAAGTCCGGGCAAGAAATATCGTTTTTAATGCAATTATTGATATGAAATATTAATTGCATCTCTCGTTAGTATGTTAATTTAGTGGCCCTAGCATTCGCTGCCAAGCGTTAACTGTAGCAAGCATACTTTTAACGTGCGTTCTGTCAAACCAACGCCAACGCCAAAGCCAACGCGAAAGTTCTATGTGTGCCGGTCTTGAGTTTGGTGTTCACACGTCAGCTGTGCAACTAGCGATACGAAATCAGCACGTGTGTCAAGTTAGCACTACACTTTTCGAATTTGGAAAAGTTAACTACGGCATTAATTGTAGTGTTTTTGTTGTAAATTTGTTGTGGAAAGAATAATTTTGTAGCTCTCGTTTTTTAAGAAAAAATGGTATGTAGTGCTAACTTGACACCATACACCT